CCAGTACTTGCCATGGTCCTCTATAGGCGGGTAACAACTTCTGAGAGATGTTTTCTTCTGGAATAAACTCTTTAGACTTAACCCAGACTAGATCACCTATTGCAAACTGAGAAGGTCTTTTGTGCTTGTTAGCCTGTTCAATCACTTGATGTTGCGCTTTGACTATATTTGCTTTTACCTTTTCTAGATCTTTTTGGTATTGCATTGCAAATTCTTGCGTTCCCAATGGAAGTTTGTGTATCTGATCTGGGTTCAAATAATCGACAGGTCTACGGGGGCGCCATCCCAAATGCAACTCCGTCGAGGTTCTGCAAGTAGATAAGTGTACAGAGTTGCCATAGCCACAAGTTGTACAGTTGACTTGAACTGAGTTTTGATTGCAAGGACATATCTCTGTGTTTTTCTGTGTGAGCGCAAGGCGCTAGCGTTGTTGATTCTGAGTTGAAGAAGTTGGTTTTCCATCAGTTCGCCCATGTATGCATGTTGCAAGCAAGTTTGAAGTGCAGTCTGATTTCACAGCAGCTGTGAGTCAATAAGTAGCAGGACAGCAGTGGTTCACCACTGCAGCAGAGAAGAACTGTGGCCTCCAACCTGGACCGATTGCGATCATGGTAGTCCAGATTGATGTTTAAAGACACTGTGCTGAACTTGTGCATCAATTTGTTCAATTTTTAACAACGTTTATTATGCTGGTTGTGGCGGGGCAGCAAAAACAGCAAATTTATGGTGGTCTGTTACCCATTTTTTGAGCGGAGGACATCCAATACAGAAGCTATGACTTGTTGAAGGTCGGGACAGTAAAGGAGTTTCCTCAGAGTTTCCTATAATGTAGTCCATCATTCAATGCTGTAATCTTGTCGCCATGACGGGATGAGCCCCCTCCATGAGCTCGCACACAGAGGCATCAGGGTTCATCCTCGAGGAACAGACAATAACAATCACCACACAGGATTGCACTCTTAATAATCAAGCTGGACCGTCAGATTGTGAGCTTGGCAGTCCAGTTCGATGTTAACAGATATTGTGCATCAAATTGGAAGTTGGTTTTAACAATGGCTCTTATGCTGGTTGTGGTGGCACAGCAGAAGGAATTTATGGCGATCAGTTAGCCATTTGTTTAAGCAGGAGATCTAGAAGAGTGGCTACGACTGGTTGAAGGTGATAGCTGCTAGGGGATATTGATGTTTAATGTCAAAAAAGGCTTCCTTTAGCGTGTCCCTACACTTCAGTCAAATTGTGGAATGTTGCAATCTTGTCCTCAGCATAGGATGCGCCCTCTGTGTGCTGGCACACAGAGGCATCTGAGGGTTCACAGTCGAGGAGCGAATGACAACAATCACCAGACAGGATTTGCATTCTAATTTCTCAAAGACCCCTAGTTTCCGTGAACCAAAGTGACTGGTCCCACAAGAGTGGGACCAGCACAGACACGCGGGGAGTTCAACACTGTGTGAACATACGAAAATACATGTAGAAGAGGGAGGGAGGTAATACCGAGAAACAAGATGAAAGGTGAGGGAGAAAATGCACCTCCTGTGACAGTAGAAGAGGATGCGATCAGAAAAGCGTAGGCAAAATACACCATATGCCAAACAATTGCTGACTGTCACGGTTAAGCTGGCAGGTGCAATCCTATGAAGGGCTTAATCACAGTCAGAATGACTGAAACTAACCTCTCTTTGTAACAAGCGAGAACTGCAGCATCAGCCGTCCGTGTCCTTGCCAGCATTCTCTGGGCTAGGTTTGGTCCTGGCATTTTCTCAGGACTAGCCACACAAACAATGTCTCCACATCAGAATAGAATGATCATGACACAACGCCTGGATGAAAACGAGATCACATGCAGGAGAGCAGACTGGGTGGGGAAAGGACAGCAAATGGTGTGCCAATGAATCTTAACAGCTGACAAATGGGCTCCTAGGGAGGTATTAATTGTGGATCTGCACAAGAGTAATCTGCTGGTCTGTCTGCTAAATAGGGGTCAACGTAGTAATCAAAGAGCGCCAAAAGCTACATCACTCGAGTACGAAAGGCCAACTATTCACAACATCAGCATGGACACTGAGAGAAATTTAATTATTTGTAGTGGAACCAAAAGAGTGAATAGCATGAACAAGATGGAAGGAATACAGCAGTCCAATCACAACAACCACAAACCTGAGCTTGTTCCACATGTCTTCCTTGGGTCAAGATTCTCAATTAGAGAGATTATTTGTTTCTAATGCCAAAGTGGTCTACACCAAGATGACCCCTAAGGTTGAGCCTGACTCTTCTTCAAGTCCCCACGACTTTTGTTGTCGACTCAGCTCGGTCTGTCATAGATGTGTCAACCAGCATTGTATTTTTCAAGGGGATTGGAGAGAATTAACAGTATATTGTTGCATACTGTAACGGTGCAGACCAGAACAAGAACCGACCTCTCATAACAAAGTATAAGATAGCACAGCTGAAGACTTGGATACCGATGATCCGAACAATCAATATTGCAATGCAGCCCTGAACAGACATCATCATCATCGTTACACGGTGTGAATGGGGTCTGGCGCTTCACACAGGAAAACTGCGCCAGCCCCTACCATACACAGACGAAGAAGAAGGGGGTTAGACGAAGAGGAGGGGGGAGATGGGAATGTCGTCAACACCAAGTCTTCGACACAACCCAAATAGTTCCTCGTCGAAATGTCTGAGTCCCAAATGTCAAGTCTGGATCCAATGTCGTCAAGTCTCAAGTCACAACTCTTTCTCTCTCTGTCGTAGTCTGAGAAGTCAGGTGGTGAGAGGGTGAGAAGAGATGGTG